TGCCATAAAGTGTAGCAATAGCATATTTAGGAATATAGTACATTTCAGAGATTCAGGTAGCCTATAGGTAGGTAGACCTTCTGTAAACTATAACACTTTGTTTTTTAAGTAAAACACAATACTTTCAAGTACATTCAGAACATTGGAAACCCTGACTATTAGAAAATATCTCTCTGTTGCTTCAGAGGCCAGAACAGACTTTGTTGATTTACCAACAGTTGATTTAAAAAATCTAATCAATTTCAGTCCAACTCTCTCAATAACCTTGGCCAAAACAATAAACAGTTCAACATAAAGTGCCAGTTGCAACAACAACGTAATAAATAGTTCAACATAAAGTGTACCATTTAAAATAAAATAAAAAAGTGCCAGTGATTGACCTCAATCCCTCCTATTCTTCCAATATCCTGATGAAAAATAAAATCTCTCTGTTGCATAGGCCACTGTTTGATCAACGCGAATTGGGTGTGGGTCCTTGTACTCCGAGTCGGGCTAACGTCCACGCTAGCTTCCACGCTAGCAGATATATGTTTTGCATTGAGGTGATACTTGAGGCTTGATGTGCTGCGGTGATATGCGAATTCCTTTTTGCATAATTTGCAAACAACTGTGCTCTTATTGACGCTTCCATCCGTCAGTTTTTTAAAACAAAATGTCCCATCCACGGGGCCAACCAAAGCGGTCTCATCAGCTTCTTCATTCATGTTTGACTATTGTTCACTGTGGTTTGTTGTTGTCTGAAGTCATGAACGTTAGTTGGTGCTCCAGTATAATCGGTACCCCTGAAACTCATCCAGTGAGAAACGTTCCGCGGTGCAAAAATAAGTGCGATTAAAATGTGTTAATTTTTTTAACGCGTTAATTTTTGTGTAATTAATTAATCTTAATTAACGCGTTAAAGTCCCGGCCCTAATTAAAACAAAACGCATTACTATACATGTTTCATGGCTCCTACAACGTCTCTTAACCTATATATATATATACATATATATATATAAAACCTATATATTAGATCTTGTTAACATGACTCTGAATGTCATTCCAAAAAGTTGCATGTAAATGGGGTTTTGGATCAATGTCATTCATTCCTATTCACAGGAAGTATCACAGAAAATTCCTCAGCATATCAGATAACGGCGTGCTGGAAACTTGTTGATTTAGTCGTTATTTGCTGGACCAATAGCAAGTTCCATCAGCTGGCAAGATAACGTGTAACCAAATACAGAACAATGGTTAGTTTCTAAAAGGATTCTCATAATCCTCCAAGCTAACTATTAGCCAACTAGCATGTTGGTCTGAAATGTTTTATAATAAATGCTCTCATCTTATTTGGGAGCAATGAATACTTTGACTGAGCTCCGCACCATAAAGATGGTTTGCTGTTGGACCACGCGCCAATTCATGTGCCAACATTCATCCAAGTTAACATTTGTGCAAACCTTTTCATAGTTTGCCTTTGTTCTGTGAATGTTATCTTGATGATGATGATGATGATGATGATGATGATGAATACATTCACATTTGTACTATTGTACCATGACTGTGCTATTGGTCCATACATCCTGTAATGCGTCATGTACGGGGAAAGCACATTTCCCCGTACAATACACATTTAAAACCAGTACATCAGCAGGCTGGTATTTGCCTTAAAGCACATATGAATCCTTACATCCTGTGTAAATGTGAAAGATTCAAAGAACACTGGGTACAGAGCAAAATTAAGAAAAGACAGAGAAATTCCAGATGTACGCGTAGTAAAATGCATACAAGAACAATGGTATTGGATTGGAAACCCGACATCTGTTCAACCCAAATGTACATGCACGCCCTAACATACGCTTCTAAACATCCTGCCTCTGCTTGTGTTTGATGCTGAGTGGTTGTTTGTGTTGTTGCCAGGTCCAGACTGGCTGATTTCCTCAATAACTGCCAGCCGTCTCCTCTGACGGCCAGCGGCTGTCTCAAAGACTCAGCGGGACTGTGCCTCCGAGCCTACGCCGGACTCATCGGTACGGAGGCAGCACATTTGTGGATTAAATGTTTTGCTGAAATAATCTAATTATACTAATTCCAAATTCTGCTTTAATGTTTTCAAATTGAGGACCACATTTTTATATTATCATATTAAAAGTTTGGCACAAGTAGGTCACAGCGTAAATCTACCAAGTAGATCAAGTAGAACAAGTCCAGTCAAGATATCAGACGATGTAAACGGGATTTGATGCTTAGAAGAACAAGAGTCGACAGAATTGTGATCACAAATAATTTTTATTCATTCTGTCATCAAGGCCTGATTAAATTAGGATTCTTTAAAGGCAGTCCCAGAGGCAAATTCATTACTCAACTATTGCCCTCTCCGGCATGTACATCAGCCACGCTTCATTTGCATAAGATAATGCATAAACAACTAAATTCATGACTAGAGTTTAATTTTCAAGACACAATAGTCATTATAAGCCCATAGTGAAGCATGCGATTCAGAAATTGAGTCACCAGCACACTGTGGGCCAATTTCCATCTTTCTCACACATAAAGCCTCACATTATGGTTGCTCACACACACAAGCACACAACCTAGAAACAACAGCAATGCTGGCAAATGGACTACATTTATAGAGCGCTTTAAGTGCTTTAATTTAACAACACAAGTCAGCATTTACACACACACATACACATTACACACACAGACAGAGGCTTCAATACAACTTGCAACCTACTCATCAGGATAACCATTAACACACACTCACATTCTGTCAGTGTCTCGGTCATGGACACTTCAACACACACCCTTAGCCACAGCCACCTCTGTTAATGAGGGCAAAGCACCACATGCACCTGGAGTTATACTGTATTAAGACTAATTTGCTAATTTAAGCTATTTTTATTTCAATTTTATTCCAACTATTTTTTGTCATTAATAAACTCCCATAAATGGAATCTGACACTATAATCCTATTACATCAGTATATGGTCTAACATGAAGAGCTGAAACTCTGACAGAGCTAACAAAGCTAACAGGTTGTCCTTGTTTTGAGTGTTATAGCTAAGCTAGGCTAATTGACCAAACTCAAACTTTGTAAGGAAAATGCAAAGACATGAGGGTGGAGATATTTTCCCATCTTGTCCTCGGAAAGCGAGCCATTTAATGTTTTCTGACTCTAAACTAAACCAGGGGTGCCCAATACGTCGATCGAAAGGTGGTGTGGGATTGCATGCATTGGAAAAAAAAGAAGAAAAAGAAAAAAAATGTTTAAGTTAGCCTATCATCCATCCTTACTATGGCATTTGCCACTTGATTGACGTAAGCCAGTCTGAGTTGTATTGTGCCATACGGGTTCATGCAGTTATGAGGGGGCCTCACCTCCTCATCTGAAGTGCAAATGCGGCGCACTATTTTGCGCTTATGCGGCGCAATTAGTGTAATTAGCCACAGTTTATCTGCTGTTTAGTCCACTAGCACCCCCCACCCCCCCGCGCGCGCTCACTCGCAACACAGATTGGACAGGGGCGGCTCTGTAGGAAGATCAGGCACCCCTGCTCTAAACGTTACAAAGATAGAATTGAGCTTGTCAGGGTCAAGAAAAGCCTTTTAATATTAAATACCCTAACTCCAGGCTTCAAAATGCCCCTTTTGCTCCCGTACAAGTCACAAAGTCTACATTATGTTTCACAACAGATTTAGTTTGAACTAAAATAACAGGGTTCTTTTGTTCTTTTTATGTGTCTCGCCATGAAGCAAATGTGCTGATTTCCTCCCAAATGTCTTAAATCAAAATGCAGTGTCAAAGGCTTGGAGGCTTCCAGCTTTTGGCCATGGCATCAATTGTATCTGTAAACTGTGTTTACGTCTGTATTTGCAGCGATAATGATAATATATTAAATACATCTGTTCTTTGCTTTTCCGAAGCTAACATTTGCTGTGTTCCGCCCCTCTGACCTGTAGGCACCATCATGACTCCCAACTACCTCAGCAACAGCTCTGCAGACGTGTCTCTGTGGTGTAACTGTGAGGGCAGCGGCAACCAGTGGCAGGACTGTCTGAGGCTGCAGCGCATGTTCACACACAACCCCTGCCTGCGTGAGTCTACACACACACACACACACACACACACACACACACACACACACACACACACACACACACACACACACACACACACACACACACACACACACACACATGCTGCTCATCATATGTGTTGGGTCTGTGCTGTGACACAGTGACAGATCTGATCACTTTGATTTGTTAGAGTATTGTTTACTGGCACCTTCAAAATGAATTTATTTGCTCAGAATTTTGTTTTGTTTTTCGTAAACGTAGTATTTTCAGTTGATATCTTGATTGTTTTATATCGCTCAGGTTTAGCAAATCCGGATTCCATTTCCACCAGAACATTACGTTTTTCTATATGATAAAGAGATAATGTGTGTCAAATAAGGCTAACTTCCGGTTGCTAGTAATCCACCTTTAATGTGCACCAATAAAAGTCCTCAGACCTGAATCGTTAGCATATATATTTTAGAGGGGGGGGAAACTAGACCATGTAACAAGGGCTGTGATACCAGCTGCCCAGGGTTACCATGATAGTTGCACATTTACTATTCTAGCACAATATCGCATATCTTCATTTTAAATTAAAATACGTTATTTAAGTACTTGTGCCAGGTCATGTTTCCGGAGAGGAAACCTGGTTGTCGATATTTTGCTGTTTAATGTGCATGATAGAAATATGTTTGTTTTTGAGTGTGGTTAGCTCGGAGCTTGAGTCAAAGATGGTTAACCTAGAGTAGCATAAACACTGAAAAGGAGGGGAGATGAGCCCACCAGGGTCTGTGCCCAGATAAAAAATACTTCTCATTTAAATACTCTCACATTGTCTATCTTGTTTAGTTAATCTGCACATAAACAGACATGCTAATATACACATTTGTAATTTTAAAGGGACATATGTGCTGGAACTATTTGTTGCCAAACAGTTGGGCACCCTGACATGGAGCAGCTTGTTATCACAGTGAGGTTGCCATGTTGTGTACTAGCGTGTCTGTACAGAGACCAAAACCTTCAAATTATTTCAGACAGAGCCAGGTAGCTTTTTTCCCCCCAGTTTGAGGCTTTATGCTAAGCTAAGCTATCGACATCCTGAGGACCAATCTCATATTTCAATCTTGGATCAAAGAGATTATGAATAATTTCTAAAACCTCAAACAATACTCTTTTTTTGCTGTTTAAGATATTTGTGCAAATTGGTTTGAAAGAATACCTTAGAGTCCCGCTGCATATATATGTATATCTTTTTTCTTTAAAGAAATGTCCTAAGGGCATTTTCCTTTTCCTAAAAATATTCGTATTACATTTTTTATTTCCTATGGTTTCATGGCATCTGTCCCATGATGAACAATGTGAGGTTTCAGCTGTTTTTTCCCCCAAAGCACAGACCTTTTGAGGCTTAGTCATAATCACATTTAAGATATTTACCAACAATAGGCCTATTGCTATCCATAATATATCTGAGAACTATGAAAACAGAATTAATGTGTCACCATCAAAGATACTCTGAGGAACAACTCAAAGGGAATACAGGAAAAAAGCATTTGACACAATGTCTGCTGAATCTGTCTTGGTAGCTGGTTCCTGCGGTGGTGTTCACAGCATGAACTCACGCTACCTTCATATGTCCGCTACATGCTACAGCCTTAACATTCATGAGATTGTGTCAGTGCGTGTCAGTGCGCAGCTTTCGGCTCAGGAGGTGTGAGGAGAGGAGCCGGAGGCGAGAGCTGTCAGTCAATCACAGCAGCCGTCAATAAGCCTGTCGATACACAGCACGCCTGTATGTCCAAACACTAAAGTCAAGATCGATGCGTCAATGCACTTCCCATAAAGCTGAGTGATTTATCAAGCTGCCGACAGCTCAAACAATAAAACTGACAAATAGATATGTAGGTTCACGCCCACTCACACGCACGCACACGCACGCACGCACGCACGCACGCACGCACACACACACACACACACACACACACACACACAGTAATGGGCTGTGTTTCCATACAGGTAACTCTATCAGTTGGATGGGGAGCCCGGGCTCCCTGCCGGCAGACTTCACCCCCCTTCCCGCTCCCCGGCCCTCCCCACTGGTTCAGGAGGATGAGCTGCTGAGCAACAACCACCTGCCCGAACACAACAACATCGTGAGTACACTTCACTTTTTAAATTACCTTTCAGACTTTTGTCTCGAGGCATTTTCTATTATCTTTGGTCTGAGCTCATCTTGTCACTGTCACACAGTAGGTTATATATTTATCTATTTGTTTTATCTCCATGGCTGGGGCTGTTTATTCGTTTTATAATTTTACGGTTTTGGTTTGTGAGAGAATCAGAATAGCTTTATCTGTCCCACAGAGAGATATTAACATTGTTAGAGCCAAAAATAGCAAATAATTAATTAAAGGGGACCTATCACGCAAAATGCACTTTTTTATGTCTTTTATACGTAAATATGTGTCATTTTTTTCACATTTCAGCACTTTAGTAACAGGGCTGAAACGGAAGGATATGAGGCATGGCTAGAATGGGTGATCTGTTTGGTATTTTGAGAAAAACACTTCATAGACATGTTTTTTATATTTTTGTATATATCTGACACCTATGCTATTGCCTGAAAATAGCATGATAGGTGACCTTTAAGAGGCTTGCATAATTTAAGTTAAATATAGAAGTGACACATTACAATTTAGATGTGAAGGTGGACAACAAAAAATAACCAGTAACAGTATTTTTCTTTAAAATTAAGTGTAAGATGTAATAAGTAGTATGATAACAGCCAGGTTACAGTAGTATAAGGGGAGGTATTGCACAGTTATTTACAGATCTTATTACAGTCGTTGAATTGTCTGACTAAAAGATGGACAACACAAGACGGTGTTTGCAGATATTCTTTTATAATTTTCCACATCTTTCAAATGTACTGTATGTAAGAAATTAGTGTATCACATATTCTCAGTCTGTTCATTTAATCTTAGAGTATATAGCATTATTTAGAAAAACTGATTTGCATATAATTTATACATTTTCAAAATGGGGAGCACAAAGGCAAAAAGGCATAAAGGCAATTTGGCCATGGAAATCAACAAAATTAACGTGATAGTTATCTGTAGGTATTGGCCATACATTAAAATCTGAGGATGGTCACTACGACCAAATCGGGCAAGGGGCTTCTCCATATCCTTGCTCCCTTTGTTTTGCTTCCCTTACTCAGAGCTCCCCCAAATGTGATCTTAGCTTACAGACTCTCAAAGTTTCGTTACTCCAAACAGGGTCAGGGACCTAAAGTTACAGAATGATTCTTCAGGAGCACATTTTTCTATGATGACACAGACACACTCTGTCGCAGTTGGTTTAAAGCAGTGTTTCTCAAAGTAGGGGGCGCGCCCCCCCTGGGGGGAGCAGAGGCATGACAGGCGGTGCGCGAGAGACCAGGAGGAAAAATGGTTTTGAACCATAATAATAATTTGAAAAATTATTGATTCGAAAATAATATGATACAGTACAGTACAAGTACGTCTGGGTCTCTGTGTTTCATTCACGCTGTGTGGAACGAGCCATTTTGTGTGTGTGTGCGAGCGAGAGAGAAAAAGAGCGCACCGGTACCGGAGATCGTTGTTGTTAGCTTCTGGTGCTAGCGAGCTAGTGGCCGGGTCTCAAACGGTTTGGTCATGATTAATGTAAACAATTATTTCCGAGGCACATATTTATTTATTTTTTATTTATATGATCATTATAGTTATACAAAAATAAGAGAATACTTGAAAAACAGGTATGAAATACTATATGACATTAAAAAAAGAATAAAGTTTAAAAGGGGAGTGATTTGTAAAATATCCATAAAGAAATAGTAAATCTGTTTACAGTTCTGTTTCATATGGGTGTTGAGAGATGTATCCATAGATCTCTTCATTTTGCTCTCTAAGTGCACCAGATTGATGCTTTTAACTTCAATATTTAAAAAAAAATCTTCCCGGGGGACCATGCCCCCGGACCCCCCTATGTAAGTTCCACTCCCCACTTAGCACATAGCAAATAGCACTTTACCCCTGCTTACGCCAATATGCCGTGAGCTGATTATCGGGCCTTCATTGTAACAGTCGCAGCAGGTACACTGTGCGTGTGGGGATTGTTGCAGTAGAACATTCAACTGTAGCGCCCGGTACATTAATGGGAAACCCTAAATGTTTGAGCACCCTCTATGAAACGTCAAGCTACCCCACAGCACCCCAAAATAAATCTCTGGCGCCGCCACTGAGCCTGCAACCCCGTTTTGAAGAAATGTGCAGTGCAACACAGGCTCATTGCAGCCACTAATGCTGTGATGCTAAGACACACTTTTCTGCCAAATATCAGCATTTTCTTTCTTTTCATTTTTTTTGCACAAATTGCAAAGTGGCAAAGTATTATAACTTATTGCTCTAGCAAAGGGATTGCACAATTGTATTTATTTTT